GCATCTTCAACTTTTCGATCTTTACCATCTAACAGTTGAAAATGTAAGTGGCAACAAAAAAACAATCCTTGATTGCTCTACTGGAAACATTAGCTTGCTCCATAATGTACAAGGGGCGTCCTTTAATCTCTCTGGCTAACTGTAAAGTCTCCTCCTTTATTAACACTTTTTTTGTTCCTTTTTTGTCTGGTCTTACAGTTATTTGGTTACATGTTTGGGGACTCTGAGATGGAAAACAGAGAGGAAGTTGAAGGATGGATTTCTAAGATTTGGCAGTCTTTAATTTGATAAGAAATGTCAAAAAGTAAAATTTAATGCAAAAGCCTGATAAACAATCACAGCTTGAATTATTGTCTACCTTGGCTGCTAACTTCACATTCCATTTATTTGTGTTTCGTAATCCAGGTTAAAACAAGACAAAATTCCACAGCCCCAAAATCACACCATAACTTTCCATCCAGTCAAAGCATTTTATAGGCCCTACATTTTCTCCCTCTGGCACAGTATGTGCAGACTCATACATATCAATCCTGGAAACTTACAAACTAAAAATACACCATATAAGAGGTGATTGACGATCCATGAATGTATCCAGGTTTCTACCAAGTAACTTTTTATATTTTTTAAAGAAGAACTCCCAGATTCATGAGTATAACAATCCCAATTAATCTGATAAGTTATATAACAAACCTCTACTTATAATAGCCCGACCTCATGAAATTGAAGAATGAACGTGATAATGACAGAAAGCAGGGGTAATTACATAACACTCACCAACATGGGAAGGAAGAACCGTAATATGAGGATGTGAATGGTACCACCCAATCACCCTAGTTGTTCTTCCTGTTGACGTTGTCATTCTGTGCTATAGAGTTAATTAAACAGTATCATAAAAAAAATCCTCAAAAGTAAAGAAGCAAAACAGATGTGGTGCATGGAAATACCAAGAGCCACTACAACTATGATAGCTATATAACTAAAGAATGTAAATGTTGAACCAACTGAATGTATTCCCAAATTTCCAGCCCACCTAAAACTCAAAGGCACAGCTCATGAGGCATTCACGAATATTTTTTTTCTTTTGAACGGCATGATTTAGATTACTGAACAAAAATAGGTATTTTTTTAATGAATTTATATCACAATTTTAAAGCCGAGGCGGTGTTGAAAACTAAGTTAAAAACAAACAAATCCTAATAAACTAAATAAGTACAGCACAACCTAATTAGGGATGTCAAGAACCCATTTTTGGTTTTTCCTTTTGTAATGAAAACATAAAAAGATAAATTTTCAAATATTTATAAAAAATAAAGCATTAAGGATATTTCGGCCTGGGCTGATGCAGCAGCCAACTGCTCAGGATTAGTCTCCACACGGTCCTTCCTCCGATCAGATCGTGTTTGAGGTGATGCTCCCCAAATTAGTGCAGTCACACCCCCATTTACAGAGTTCTGAAATTCCCAACATCATTGGGGGAAGAAAATGTTATGACTATAAGACACTATATAAAATTAAGATATAAACAAAGAGCCAGACAAAGAGGATAAATCCAAATTATAATAAAATCATTGTATAAATCATAACCAAATTCAGTTGTCCATCATATAGATATCATCACTTCAGCAAATGGCTTCACAAAAGAAAAAAAAATTATAAAAACTTCTCACTTTCAGAAGACTGCCAAACATGCAATTATTTTTCTCTTCCACATCTTAATGAGTAACAAATTATTAGGCCAAGCCACTGGGAACTTCCACTTAAGCACCAAACCATCAAAACGCTAGCCAAAAAAATATTAATAAAAAAAGAAGCACCAAAAAACCAATAGAACAGGTGAAACAAGAAACTGTTAAAGCTTGTCTAGATTCCTTGTATGCACCTGGGTCTGACAAGAGTGAATGGAATTACAGTGCTTTTCAAGGAAAGGGATCTTAGAGTGCAAAAACAAAGATCCTGCAGCAACATACTGAAAGAACCATAGAGTCTGAACTCATTATCAATCAGATATTGGAAATTGGCAACCAGAAATGGTGCTGGATGTGAAATTTGCACTGGAACACTGAATCAACTAGCCTAATACAAAACAACACCAATCTTAAGCATCACTGCAAGTCTTTAAATCCCAAGAGCAGGCAAGAACATCATGCACAGGTATAAAAGATGAGTTAGCATGTTGATTTGCTAGAAAAACAAGGCTAATGCTTCCTTTGATTTCTGTGTAAATGTTCTATTTCTGTATGAGTGTTCTAATGTTTGTCATATGCTCTGAATAAGCTTTCCCAAATAGAGCCCAATTTTATAATGTAGCTAAAATTTCAAATTTCATCTAGACTTAGCAAATTTTCGAGCTGAATATAAATTAAAAGAATAACCAAATGAATGATAGTTATTAGAGAAGAGAACATAACAACGCTGACAAAGCACAGTATTCTAAAATCAAGTTCAAGTAAGTATATCAAACAATTTGCATTTGAACACATGTACTCAGTGGTTTTTAATAATTATGAAACCCAGAGTAAACTTATTAGAGTACCAATCGAATTAGAGGAAACCCCGAGAACTAGTCTAGTTAGCAAGGAACATTAATATGCCAAATTCGAAATCTAAACTGACCCAAAATTCAAAGAAAAAACAACTAAGCTCGTTAAACCTAACCTTTCTAACCCCGTTTCAGAAAACAACCCAAAATACCCAAACCATTCCAGCTCTACATTTACTCCAAGCATCAAACCGATCAAGCAATTTCAACACCCGTACAGTAAGAAAACCTAATACAAGCATAACATAAGTAGAAGCCAAACAATTTGAAGATGGAAATGGCAGAGAGTGTACCTCAATATCACCAAGAAGGAGGCCCATGATCTCCTCGGTCTCGGTGGACAATGCATGAGTGAGACATGTCAACCAAACGTCCTCGGACATTTTCACACCCGTTAAAGACATTCTTCTCGCTCTCTTTCTCTCTCCAAAAATTGTGGCTTTCTCTCTCTACTTTCTGGCTCTGCAACAAGAGGAGGAAGAAGAAGAAGTGGAAAATGAGAGAAATTGATTCCCAACTTTTTTCGAGGTTGCAAACACAGTCCCTCGTTGTACCCTGGGTTGTGTTGTTAGAAGATCTCTGGCTCTTTTTGGGGCAGTGATTTGGTACGCTAAGTTCCAGACTGTAATTATGGTACTCATCTCAATCGAGTTGAATAGCTTTTCGGGTTTGATTTTGATATGCTGATGTCATTTTAATCTGACTTTTGTTTTTAATTTCTTCGTGAGGTAGGTGGTGGCGGTGGTGGTCGCATTTTGATGACTTATGCATTATTGTGACTTACTTCCACAATTATGATAAAGCATCAATTCGAATTTGAATTTAGATTACAAAAGAGTATCACTAAACCGAAAACTAGTTAATTACTTTTTATTAGAGTTTACATGTCATATGGGATTTTAAATTTTTATTAATCTAAAGTACACTTTAAGTCTAGTGCAAGAAAAAAATCTTAACATAATAGTAACACTTTGTTATCTTCGTTTCTCTGGGTGATTTCTAAGTTATTCTATTTATATGAGAAGAAGAAATGTAAAATTACTAAAAGATATCTTTTAAATTGTTTTTTTCATATAAAATTACCCAAATACTTCTTTACAAGTCATTTATTAATTAGCTTCAATGAGTTTCACACATGGACACACATGGCTTCAAAGAGTCATTAATATATCAAGTTGTTCATGTTTTTATCAAACATCGACATTCATTAAAAAAATTCAACAATACATCAAAGACGTGTACAAGACACAAATCTCAACTTAACTGCAAAGCAACAACCAGAAAGGATAGCAAAATAGCAGGAGAGATGACGAAAGAGGGAGAAATAGGACAAAGATAGAGTGAGGGGGGGACAAGGGACATATGTTGCTGGTAGGGATGGATCACCGTCGATTGGAATCATGAGTGTCGAGGATTGCTGGTTTTTTTTTTTTTTTGTTGGTATTTTTTTTCTAATTTAAGGGGATAAAAGTGGAATATTAAGGGGAAAGAAATTAGAATGGGTGGTTTCAACATAGTCGGAGGTGTCCAAAAAATTTCCCTTAGTGAAAAGGTAGTCACTATACATGCATTGAGTATAGATTTAACTTCCGAAATTAAGTAGTATTTCTCTTTTCAATGTTGGA